TACAGATATGCCAACAGAATCAGAGACGAAATAGCAAGATATTGCATATCCGATGAGAATATCGACTTCCATCGGCAAAAAGTTAGATTTTTTACATAGTATAATTGAGTCGATACATATCACACCTGACTTTTCTTTTCTTGCTGTCTATTTGGAGTAGCTATTGCGTTTTTTTAGTTTTTCTCGAAATATTTACACCTGCGTTCAACTAATTATAAACAAAATTTAAAAAGATATTGTTTGCAATTAAGTTTATATTTTTATTTTCAATAATTTTCATTTAAAATATAGCTCAATCTGTAACAGAAACCACAATAATAAAAGTTTCAAAGCTAGAAAAAATTGCAAAAAAATTAATCAAACTCAAAACAATTGTCATCAAAATTTCCAAATTTTTATTCAGAATATTTAGAAAATTTTCGGGTATGAAGTTCTGTAGCCCATTCAATTGTAGTCTAAGAAAGTGCAAGTCTCAAGCCGTTAATAATTACCGTTGATTTTTTAGACTTTTTTTGTGGAGGGTCCCAAAGGGAAAAGAAGTAATGCATTATATGCGTGATAAATAATGTAATGTATTTCTTAAGAGTTCTACATTCCATTACTGCTTAATATGTAATCAGCATTCTAATGCCAAAAAGTCGCAAAAAATTCATACTAAATCACATTAATTCCTGCATTACTGGTAATGCAAAAATGAATGCCCCACTTTCCTAGGACATCGCCGTAAATTTATGTAAATTTTATAAACGCAAACTCCAACGACTAAAAAACAGCAATAGAAGGATGAGCGATTAAAAAGTATTCACAGTCGCTAATTGAGCGACTAAGCGACACTCACAATAGCATCGATAATCGATAATCGCTTAATAGTCGTTTATCTACTGCCAGTCGACACCCGCAATAGGGGTGTGAGTTAAAGTCGAACGATCAAAAAATAATGTTTGTTGCCCCTTTTCGAGAAACTTGGGTACAGTTTGGTTATTTGTACAATGATTTTGGGTTGTTGTGTCCAAGCGCGTGACCCCAAATCTAAAAACTTTAACATACACGTGTAGTCAACGATTAAACTTTAATTTAACACAACTGTTTCAAATTTCCGAGCATTAGTTTATTAATAAATTCGATTTTAACTATGCACTTATTTGTAAATTTCGATGTTGGCTCTGGGTTCTGGATGGCGTAGCCGGAGGTTAACGCACAAGAAGTGTTAAATATATTTAAATATATTTTACAATAGAAGAAGGGGCTTCCGCCCTTCTGCGGCAACACAGAAAGGATAATTCTACCTAGTAAGGTTAATAATCCCTAAAGCTTGCTATACAGTTCAATGCGAGCGTAAGCGTGAAAGTTCGCAGAGGCAAAGAATTCCATTTGTATTCTTATGAACGCTCACACACATCGGTCAAAACTTGTCGTTTTACATGCGAATGCTTTACATACGCACACAGTTGAGTGTGAGCTTGAAAAAGGCGTATTATGCATTTTAAATTAGGTTTTATTCTATAATTCTGAAAGATTTTTTAATTCTCTATCTTGTGATGTATCAGCTATTGCAAAAAGTTAAATTATAACCATGATATTCGTCAAAATAAAAAGTTCACGCTCACGCTCGCATTGAACTGTATAGCAGGCTTAAGCGCGACCGAAGGCAGAAGCAAACGCAACAGGTGTTGAACCTAATAAAATGCATATTTTCAATGACTTGGAAGAGGCCGTTATTGCATTAACTGGATTGATTACCAGTTCTTCAGGTATAATAAGAGTTATGGCTTGTGGTTCAACAATTCAAGCAGAAGCTTACATACATAGAGGCAACTATGGTAACTACTCCGGCTTTGTGAATCCATTTCCATAACGCGCTCTCACTCCGCTGCTATAACTGTAAATGCAATAGAATCCGTAATTTTCTTCAAATAAGTAAAATCAAACAATTTTCCAATATATAATAGCACTTGATGAGTGTTTTTTTATATCCTTTCCACTAAAAAAATTTTGCGCTTTGTATGCATACTTAAAGGATATGGCTTTATTAAGTAATCTACAAAATTTTTAGAGGGGTATCTAGATATTTTGATTCCAGCGGCATATATGTTTTGGGTCCATTTTTTGCACAAGCACTTCTTATCATTTAGTTAATACCCGCTAATCCTGGTCGTACGATAGAGACGGATTCTCTAAATATCTCGACTCCAGCGCCATCTGTCGCCAACTTTTTTTCAAAAGTACTATATTTTATGATACAGAGCTTCCGACGTCGTTCGGGGTAAACAAATAAAAATATAAAACAGTAAGAAAGTTTTTCAGCTTACCACAAATTAAAGCAGACATCAACTATTTTGCCTGCTTAATTTAAGGCCTTCTGTGAAGAACACTTTTAATATATTGTTGCGATGTAGAAGCATAAATACTATCCGGAAATCCCAATCATGTCAATGCAAAGTCTCAGAGAATACTGAAGACTTTTAGATTATTATTGGAGGTGCCACGCCTCTAGTAAACACTCACTCTCTTTCAGTTTACTATAAACGCCACGCTTTCTTGTATAAACTCATTTGTATACATTTACCATAGATGTTCTCACCAAATTTCAAAGTCATGTGAGCTAGGGTTCCGAAGATATATCAAATGTAAAATCTCGCAACTTGACACTCAAAAAATTTACTTAGAACTTGATTTCAAAACTTAAAAAAAAAGTAATAAAAATGCATTTAAAGCTTTAATTCGTTATTTTTTAGTTGATTCAAGATTTGTACAAATGTCTTATCCACACGTTTGTTAGTTTTATAAAGAAAATAATCAGCCTTATTGTAAACTTCATGCGAATGCCATTCCCAATGGAAAAGTTCCCTGATTTGTGTTTTTCTTATTGTGAACTTCACATGGGAAAAGTCCCCCATATTCGAAAAATTTTCCTAACCGTAATTGTAATTTTTTCGTGCGAAACCATAAAATTTGTTCACAAAATTGTTAGCGGGGAACAACTATCAATAAAATGTGAGCATACTTTATTAATAATTTTACTTAATTTCAACAACTTTTTTATATCAACTAAGGTCTATTAATAAAACGCAGTTGACTCTTTTGGTCAACACTATGGCGGAAAATCCAGATATTGGGAAAGGCTTCCAAAAAGAAAACAAGGAGAAAGTGCTTGCGTTTTGGAAGAAGCTACATGATTCCCTCAATAGCATGGGGCCACCATCAAAATCGATCTCCGATTGGAAAAAGGTAACAGCGATTGTAAAGTTGCTATACAATGTGCGTCCGTTCAGCCTGTTTTAATACAATAGGGCTGTTCAGGATCTTGTGCTTAAGATCTTGCATTTGCATATTTCGGTGCATTTTTAAATTCACAACAATAAAATGCAAACGGATGCCGTGAGGGCAAGCATAAAATTTTAAAATGCAAATCCAAGACCATTTCTTCAATATCCTGAACAGTCCTATTAATACTTCAAATGCACCACTACATCTGTTGTTCCGTGGTGGAGGACGCAAGTTGGGCTGGTACTTAAAATTGTTATGTAGAATAATTTAAATATACAATACATAACAGGTCTGGATTGATCAAAAAAGATATGTGCGGAAGAAAGCTGTCCAGAATGCGCAAAACAGAAAAAAGACCGGTGGAGGACCGTGTAAAGAACACGTTTTTTCTGTATTAGAACAGTCAATTTTGGACTTAACCGCGACAATTGAAAGTGAGGAAGGTCTCGAAGGTGGCAAAACTTTTGGTTTGCAACCAACTAAATCAATTGGTAACAAGCAATCTGAAAGAGACAGGCATGATGAACAAGACGATTTAAATGAAGGCACAGATGTAGAAGAGCTCAGTTTTTTGGACAATATCGATTGCGAAAATATCGTGAAATTGAAACGGAAAATACCACGCCAGCGCTCAAGCCAAAACGAAAAAGTCAGGATAAAGTTAACCCTTCCGAGCTATTAAGCATGGAGTTGAGTGTTCAAAAAGAAATAAGTGTTAACATTAGCAAGGGTCTGGAAATGCGGAGTGAACACTACAAAGAAATGGAACATCAATTACAGGAATTAAAACAAGGCATTGAAAACTTTGGAAAAAATCAAGATGATTTACTAACGGAAACAAAACGTCACCATCTAGAAACTGAACGCCTAGGAAAAGTAGAAGTAGAACGTAAACTGGTACTCATAAACAGTCAAATCGAGGTTCAAAAATTGAAAATACTTGCTGCAAAAAGAAACTTAAACCTTAACTAGATATATAGTGCATACGTTTATGTAATTAATGAATTATGTTTACAGTCAGAGTCAAAAGTTAGTATACACTTTGTTCTAACATAATATTCACAACTATTTTCACAAAAAATTAAGGAAAATAACTGAATATTATTTTAGAATAAGGTGTTCACTACAATAACTTTTGACTCTGACTGTATTTTATTTTATCATCCAATTGTGAAAAAATTGCTACATTATCTCAAAACAAGAACTTTTGTCTATATGTTTTAAAAACACTGAATTTTTGTGACATTCTAAGGCTATTTGGATACGATGCATTTGTAATTTCTCTCGCTTTCTATTTTAAAAATTACTCCAAGCAGGAGATATGTATTTGTACTACGTTTATTGTACTTCAAACTTTTCGTTGAAAATAAAATAAAAACGCTTCTAAGCTAAAACAAAACTAAAATTTTTCAAGTGTGCCATAAAACAATTCCAAATATTAAAAATAGTTCAAGATCCGAATAAGGCAGGACCTTCACCCATCTGTTTAATGAATGAAATTTATTTTTTATGAAAATTAACCTGTTGGGAAATATTTTGCGACTGGGTTGGCCGAAAAAATCCTGGCCAGGATATTTTTAATTAAATATTCAAAAATAATTTTTTTTTTAATTTTGTATTCATTTCTTTAATCGAAAATGTAATTTTTTCACTAAACAAATAAGTGCAAAATTAAAAAAATAACAATTTT